TGGGGACTCAAAAATAAGCAGTTCTTTGGTCACATGGTCACTGACAGTGTTCTCCTGGCCTTGTTTTTCTGCCTTTTTTAATTCAATTTTGTAAGTGGTGTTGTCGTAGTTTTTCTATTTTGGTTTCATTTTTTTCTATTTTTTTTTCATTTTATTTCCATTTTTTTCTATTTTTTTCATTTTTTTCTATTTTTTTTGATTTTTTTTCTATTTTTTTTTGATTTTCTTTCTATTTTTTTTTGATTTTTATATCTATTCTATTTTTTTCTATTTTTTTTTCATTTTGCATTCATTTTTTTTTAATTTCAATCTGGTCCTTAGATAGAGAAACCTATCTAAGGCAAGTTTTGACTTGGATCCAAATTAAAAAAAAATAGAAAAATAATTGAAAATAAATAAGGCAACAATTCAAAAAAAAAATAAATTAAAACCAACCACAAATGATGAGAAATCCTTGCAACCGAAGAAAAGCCAAAAGCCGCACAAAAGCCGCTACAAAATTTAAGTGTAAGCTTACCTGAGCCTGCGCTTGAGCCTGAGCCTGAACTTGAGCTAAGCCCAGCCGGGGCCTAGCCTAACTAGCCGCCTGAGCCCAGCCTGAGCCGGAGCCTGAACTTGAGCTAAGCCTCTAATCCAAGCCAACCCGGGGCCTAGCCGCTGGCAACAAACTTTGTACTATAGTTACTATATACTATATAGTACGCTCAAGCCACACTGACTATTGACCTTTCGACGTGTGGCTGGGTGGCTGCTGTAAAGTCGTCTGTAAGTAAGTCTGACACCCGAAGTGAAGTCAAGTCAAATCGTGAAGACTCTTTGTGTCTCCCTGTCACAGCTTGCGTCCAGGGTCTGGACCTGCAGTGCTTTTGGGTCGAGGATTCTAAGCCTTAGGAAAAGTCTAGGAGTCTAAGCCGTAAAGCAAGGTCACTATAAGGCAGGCTCGCACACTCCAAGATCCATCACTATGATTAGGACTAGGACCTAAGTGACTAGGACTGGGACTATGACTATGACTATGAGTATGACTGAGTATGAGTGTGAATGGGTATGACGTGACTACCACCTACCTACCTACCTACCTACCTACCTGTACCTAGCAGACTTAAGACTTAAGACTTAGCACTCTCAACCAAAGGACAAAATGCCCTCAACCTGGAATCCAAAGTCTAAGATGATGAATGGGTGCACAGCACTGGAGTCAAACCTGACAAGAATCGGAAACTGCAGAGCAACTGAGTCATGTGACACCTGTGCCCATTACGATTGAAAACCACGCAAAAATGGCCGCTCAAGAAACAGATCCCCGCCTGATGTTTTGCCATCTGGTTTGCCAGAACGGTAGAGTCCTTGGGCAGCAATGTCTCGGCGAAAGTCAGGGGCTCTTTGCCCTTGCAGTGCTCCAAGGCATCGCGCAGGATGCAAGCTGCATCCTTCAGCACAGATACACCAAGATCGCGGTGCACCAACATGATGTACACTCGAGGTCTTGGGAATCCAGACCACAGATCTCCGTCCACATGCTGCCAGCATGCGAAATAACGAGGATGCTGGACATCTGTGCCATCGTTGACAGCAGATAGCAGTGCATCAAGTGGGGAATCGCGCTTGACATCTGGATGATGCACGGACGGCCCTTGGGCTGCTTCATCCTTCGAAGCCATGACGAATCCAGTCACGTTCTCAAGGACCGCCAGAAGCGGTTCCCGAGTCCTAATGTCGGCGGCCACGCCGAACATTACTGCTGCTTGTGGATGAGCACGCCACCCTGCAGCAGAAGTGAAGCGATCAGCCCGCTGTCTGGAGAACGGAGAGCAAGGGAAGCCTGCTACATACAAGTCATCACGGATGGCCTCCAACGTGCACATCTTCTCATGCACATGACAGTACCCCGAGCGCTTTTGCAAATTGTCCACAGAGGCGAAGTGATGGCAGGAGAGTTGAGCCACGTCCCGCATGAACTTCATGGTAGCTGGCTTTGGATCTGCACTCGCAGTCTCCAGTACTGGAAACCCAAGGGTTCGCAAGCCGATCCGAGGTGCACCTGTGCCCGAACACGAAGTGCCCAGGCGCAAAGGCCTGTGAAAGGTTACAGGCTGCATGCGAGGCCCGAAGAACTCCAACATATGTCTTTGCCACGAAGCCACTGGCACATCATGGACACAATCCGACAGCTTTTCTGGTTGAAACTTCAAGCCGGTGCGACCTTCAGACCCAACCTCCCGGCCCAGCTCCAAGTCCATCTCCATTGGCGGTGGCACAGCATCGAAAGCAGCATTCAGATCACGGGGTTTTAAAGGCGACTTCACCAAAGCAGAGTCGCTGCAGTCGTCATCGGAATCCTCAAATAAGCTCTCGGCCCTACAATGATGTTGTTTCTTCGTGTTGCCCTGGTCAGGGCTGTTCACTTGCCACAAAAACAACCGACGGTCACGCAACTCTTCCGACTCCAGAAGGGCGGAACTTTCTGAAGGGCCATCCTGACTAGCGGTCGTGCATGTAGCGGTAGCTGTAGCTGCTGTGTTTCTGCCCACATCCACAGGAGTGGCAATGCCAATGGAAGGAGTGGCCCTAGGACTGCCGATGGGTGTCTCAGCCGCAGCCATTGATGCCGAACTTTTGCTTGACACTTTGTCATTCTCACTGTCTGTGAATGCTCGGTCCGCTCGGGCCGCTCGGTTGTCCTTGGGCATAATCTCATTGGCATTGGCCGCAAGCGAAGCAGCCTGCACCTCAGCTGTTACCAGGCTTTCGCTGGCCTTCAGAGCTTTGGAGGGCGGCATCTCCGACATCTCCCAAGCACTGGCGGCATTCTGATGTGACTCGGCCGATCGTTTGGCCTTAACATCTTGCTCCTGGGCAGCGGGAAAAGCCTCACTGGCAGCACTGGCAGTCTCGCGAGTCTCGCGGAATGTGTCGCCCATAGAATCTATCAGAATCGCCACACCGCATGAACTGCTGTTAAGACGTCCTACGGAATAGAGGAATAGAGTGTAGTGTAGTAACTGTAGTATACTTAGTATACGTAGACGTATACGAGCAAGTGAACATCGGACATGTCAGACATGTGCCCATCTCCGCGTCTCAGAATCACAGAATCACAGTTACAGTTATACTAGTGAACAGTTAAAGGCTAAGGCTAAGGGTGCGAGTTACGAGCATTCCTGGTCGTAGTCGTAATCATGGTCCTATCTGACCATGATTTGCGCGGAACCTGTGAGGAACAGTCAGAAATCAAAACGTTTATTTGCGCACTGCACGATGGCCCGGCCCGAACCGAGCATTAAGGCATTCAGAAAAAAAACGGTCTCCTTTTGCCAGCTCGCCAGCTTGTCGATTCTGGAGTCGAGAGTCCAAGGACTCTAATCTATATGGTACTATATGGCAGCAGAGCATGCAGCCGCCGAAGCCATGTCAGTAGCAAAGTCCAAAGCCTGGCCTAGGCCTAGAATCTAGAATCTAAAATGTGGAAGCGAAATCTCAGTCAATGCATGAAGTGGCCAAGCCCAACTGTGCCTTCCAATCATCTAGCTGCGCTTGCCATCTGCGTCGCGGGGTGATCTCTGTCGGTTCGGGCGTCATAGGTTCAGTAGGATCTCTGGAACTCCTTGGGCGGTATGTGTTGAAGGCTCGATATGCGGATGTAGCCTTCACCTTGTTGACACTCTGGATGCGCGTGGCCTTCTCTTGTTTCCATGTCCATAAGGTCATCTCGCCACGGGGTCGGTCAGCCTGCAGTGTGTTTTGTGCGGGCTTCCAATTTTCATGCAGCTGCACAAACAGATACACATGTTTGCAGGAGGTATGACCGGGAATGAAGAGGAAACAAGACTGTAGGCTTTTAACTTTAGACTTTAGATTAGGTCATACAGACAGAGACAAGACTTGAGTGAAATGACTGACTCGACAGGACAAGACTCTGACATGACACGCGATTGAACTCCGCGCCTCCTCTTCTGTCTCTGACTCTCGCTGCTCCTTCTGTTTGAGGTGGCTGGACTTGGAGCTGGTGGTCTGCAGCTTTGGTTCTGGCGCCCACAAACTCAACTTTGGCCGCTTCGGCTGGGGACGGCTGGGTTGCAGCTCTGACTGTGACTGTGATTCGCTTTCATCTTCCGAACTTTCAAGAAGAAAGGCGCCCAAACGACGCAATGGCGGCACGGGCTCTGCCCCAGACATGATCCTCAAAAGCTCTGGATTCTTGTAAAGTCCTAAAGTCCTAAGAGCTGCAGGAAAGCACGGAATGTCGCTGTATCGGTCATATCGGTCATATCTCAAGCGCAGTACCATCTTCGAATCTTGGAATATTGAATATTGTCATACGTCATACTCTTCGCCTCTTCGCTGACTGACTCGACATTACCGACATTACAATACAGTACATTGCATGGTACTATTGCCTTTATCTTTTGGCAGTTGGTATTGTCACAAGAGAGCCGGAATCAGAAGAATAAAGAGACAACTCACGACAGCAAGGTTGGAAGCAGATGTGATTGAGATATCCACTCATGTGCAGCAGACAGCCCAGACCGCACCTGCGTCAAAGACCCTCGCAGCACTGCAGTCACTGCAGCATGTCAAACTTGAACTTGCCTGATCTGCTTCTGGCCTCGGTCTAGTCTAGTCTTTTCGCGTCGCTGCAGCACCGATCGGAGAGTACGCGGTGGCATGAGAGACGGTGTGGAAACCTGGGCCTGGCCTAGGCCTACGGCTACGGCCTATCGCGGGCTATTGCAAAACGGGACATGGGCAGCTACGACGCACATGGCTGCCCGCTTCGAGGAAGCAAAGCCTTTGCAAAGCCATCATTGGCCACAGCACAGAATCTGCAATGCGGTGGCCCCAGGGCCAAAGGGCTGCCAGGTGAGATTGCAATGGCCTCCTCGGCCCAGGCCCAGATTGCATGGCACAGCACGAGGCCAGAATCCACAAGCCACGCTTGCCCAAAACTGTTTGGACTGTTTGAGACGGACTGAAGTTTCGCATGCAGAAAGCAGAAACGCCTAAGGGCAGTGGTCCGGCTCGCTGTCGGGCTCGTCTGAACGACGGTCTCGTTCCTTGACAAAGAACTCAGACGCATTTGCTTCCTGACGCAGCCTCGCACGAGCATTCTTGCGGTCGAGAAATGAAGGCACAACCAAGGAATGCGCTTCCTTGGAAAGACATGCATGTCCCTGCACGGCCCACGCAGCCAGGAAACCGAGCGGACGTCCTTGCAACCTCCTGCCATGTCTTTGAGAGCTTCTGAGCGTCTTAGTCTTGGTGCAATTTTCGTGCAAGGAACAGTTTACAAAGAAATCATTACTTTGCGGTTTGTGCTTGATCCAAGCGAGAATGCTGCCATCGTCGTTTCTGATGGCCAAACCATCATGCACAAGCCGTGGCCCTGCCGGCAGCGCTGCAGTCCTGGCACTTGAGCCCCGCACTGGCGGGGCGCGGCTTGGGGCAGATGGGACAGCACTGTCAGAGGCAGGGCGGTCATGGCCACGGCCAAGTTCATCGCTTGGGTCCCGCACGGGCGGGGTAGCTGGCGGATGCACAGAAAGGGGCGCGGGTGGTGTGGGGACGTTTCTGTTTTCGTCCCCTGACTCAGACATTGCACCGATTGCACCTCCACCCCGCAATTCCGCTTCAAACTCGTCTTCAAATGCCATGGCTGACATCAAAGCTTCTGCGAAACTCTCCGCCGCTGCATCTCTGACTGTAGCAGAGCCGGACGGCTCGGCACCCGAAGCCCTCGCTGCCATAGCCATAGCTGTAGCTGCAGCTGTAGTTTCAACTGAATGTCCAAATGGAAGATCAAGCGTGCCAGGTTGAAGATTTGGATCTTCTGCAAGAAGCGAGGCTCCGATTCTCTCATCAGCATCCTCCTGTCCCCAGTGCTCATCTGAGTCCTGAGACCCCACAGATTCAGCAGCAACTTCGTCCTCACCAGCTGCATTTGCACGTCTACGTGCTCTGCTGGCAAAGAATTCAGCGAATTTCCCAGCTGTGTCATCTGACCCCTCGCTTTCGCTGTTGCCTTGACGCTCCTCCTGCTCCAGCATTGACTGCTGCAGAGCCACCTGAAGGGACTTGTCTTGCTCTGGCAACAGAGTATTTGGGAGACTGTCTTCAGCTGGAGATAGAGAGCCTGCAGGAGAGTGAACAGAAGCAGGAGGGCCACCCTCATCATCGACCCCATCTTGAAAGAACACTTCTGCTGGCTGGGTTTCAGCAGGCCCATTGGGGGAATCGTCATTCTCATCGAAAATAGAACCCACTGTCGGGGGCGGCTTAGACTTAGCTTTGCCGGCAGGCTTGGGCCCAGGCTGGGGTCGACGTTTAGGAGCAGGTGTTATCTGCAGCTGTGGGTCTCTGGGGCTGGGATCTTGCTTGGGTTTTTTGGGGCCACTTGAACCTGGGCCTGGACCACGAGGACCACCTCCCCCACCCCCGCCTTGGCCCCTTCTAGGAGCATGCTCCAATTGGGAGCCCCTCCAGAAGCATGCTGCAGGCAGGTCGCGATGCACTTGAACCAAGACAAGGCCAGGATCAACTTGAGGTATAGGGGCACGGGCCTCGACAAGTTCATACACAGACACCATCCAAGCAACATCGAAGTTGTGTAGTTCAAGCAGCATCTGATAGCGATCATAACACGTGGGGCCGGCACGCAGAGATTGCCGGGATTGCCTCGGGACAAGCCCCGCAACGTCACCCTCCGGATGCTCAGGTTCAGGGTGCATGCGCACACCGTACAGGCTCAACTGCTGCAAACCTCCAAAGCACAAGGATATGTGGTACCAGACAACTTTTGACTGAAACGGAGCCAGAACACTTTGGCCCTCCGATCTCAGGGACTCTGGTGAGCAAGATGAGAAACGAAGGAATAAACATCCATCTTTGAGCACATCCTTGCTGACTGCATGCACGCTCAAAATGCCGCGCATTGTGTTGCGCAACCTGCAGAAGATTCTCTCTAGTGTTTTTCCCTCACCCTTACAAAGACATCTGTTGAACCCTAAGCACTTGCTCTTGCTCACTTTGAGTGTCTTCGTTCTTTTGGCTGCCGGAACCCGGTCCTGAGATTGAGGGTCCACGTCTTCTTCTTGCTGTTCGTGCTGATCATCCTTGATTGAAGGGAGAACTTCAGCGCAAGCCCGCGCGGGCTGATCGGGTTTCTCACCCTCGGCTACACCACTGGCAGTGGACACGACCTCGTGTCTCTGGTGCCATGCAAGATCCAAGTTCTGAAAATTCGTCATTCCACGCAGGAAGGAAGGCTCGCCTTGAGAAATCTGTGCCAGAAAGAAAGGAGCAGCATGCATGGCTGTTGCTGATGTGTCTAAGCACAAGCCGGTTCGACTGTTGGCCACATCCGGTCGCAAAGCCCACACGGAAGCAGGGTTCATGGCCATCGTCATAGTTGTCTCGGCTGCAGCTCTGGCTGCAGCTTCCATGGATTCCATGGCCATGGCATCCATGGAAGCAGCTGTGGAGATCGATTCAAGCTTTGCAGGGGCAGATTGATTCACACTGACAGGGAGCGCTGCTACCTGTGCCGAAGCTGCGGGCAAAGCCAAGGCCGAAGTCAAGGGCCCCAAGCCCAAGCCCAAGGGCGTCGAAGGCTGAAGTTCAGAGACAGACCCGGGCTCGATCAGCTCGAGCTGAGGCGGACACGAAGAGACAGGGCGGCTCGAATCTGCATCCCGGCACAGCTCCTGTGCGGTGATGCCACTGAAGTTCAGCACAGCTTGCTCTGAAGCACTCACATCTGCGTGGGACAAAGAATCTTGCAGTCTGCATGCCGAGTCTCGAACAGCTTGCTGCTTCTCCCGATCCTGCTTCACAGCAAGCCTTCGCTGCTGCAATCGAAGGTGTTTGGTGTTGAGCAAGCTACCATGTTCCGCGACAGGTGGCAAGGCGTCTGTTGCCTTGCGCTTGCGGGGTATCAACGGCCCAGAACCTTTCTTCGCAAATTTCCTGGCTTGTGTTTTCAAGCTACCCAACCGCTGCAACTCTTGCCAGTCAGACCCCGCTTGCCTTTTCAAGTCGTGGTATCTCTTCCTAAGCTGGGCCTTGGAATGCTTGCCTGCAGGTGTGGTGACCTGGGGGCCACCCCGATTTTGTGACAGGAAAACATTCCAGGAGCCCCCGCCCCGACGCAAATCCTGAGCCCTAGGGAAGTGGACACTGCGAAAATCAGGTTTTGTCCGCGGCTTTCGACCAGGCTTTCTTGGGACAGGCTTCGAACTCTGAAATCCTCGACTGGGAGCACAGGTGTGTCGAAGAGTCCTGGCAACATAGGCTGCGCTAGCTGCTGCCAAGAGTTGCCTGTGACTCTGGATGCTTTTGGACTCTATGTGCCGCCGATTGCTGGCATGCTGGCACTCCGTGGCTGCAATATCAACACTTGCAACCTTTGCAATGGCTTGCAGGTGAGCGCGGGCCTCTGCACTGGCCAGCCGCTCTGCCGAGCGAAAACCCTTGACAAACCACCATGTGAAGGAATCTAACCGACATGGCTCGTAGAAAAAATCAAAAACAATTTCCTTGGCCACGCGTTCCGCCTCTGTGGCCTGTGCCGTCGCAAGGAGAAAAAGCTTGTACGGGTACCCAGATCTGCGATTGCGGATATAAACTTTCAAGGCGGCAAGGACCCTTGCAGTAAGTTTGAATGCGAAGCTGTTATTTCGCTGAGTCAAGAACACAAAAGGCAAGGATTCCCAGTGTGATTTTTGGAACAACTTGGCCAAGGCAACCTCAGCTTCAGCACTGGCCGAATCGGCATGCACTTCAGTGAGGCGGTACTTGCGCAGACCCGTTGTAAGCTCCGCCAGGGCCTGCTGTTGGTCAAACTCACTAGACGAAAGCTTCAGCTGCTTTGCCATGAGGTTGACTTGAGGCCCAAGCACAGTCCGCAGGAATACCATTTCAGCAAGCAAAGCAAGCGGGCCGTCAGGATGGCCGCATGCCCAAGCATACGCAGCATCACGCCATTTCTTGGCTATGGCCTTCCATTGGTCGTCTTGCCGGTCTCCGGAATCAGCTGCTGCGAAGCCGCAGGTCTCGAAAACCTGCAAAGCTAAGAGTTGACCACGGTCGTCCTGTGCTTGAGCTTCTACATCATCCGTGTCCATAGCGTCACTGGGTCGTGTCTGAGCGCGGGACTGAGCCTGAGCATGTGAAGACTGTGACTGCGCCGGATCTGAGGCTGTCGGTTTGTTTGGCCGACTGGGACCCGGACTAGGGCCGAAAACATCCTCAAACACCTGTGTCAACAAACCGTGAACACACTGTAGCCGACCGTACCAATCAATTGCTGCGTCACTTCCTATCCATTTATGGCGGGGGAATATGGATGGAGCTGCTCCCGCAAGGAGCCTGACACCTTCTCGCAAGAACCTTTGCATGGTTTCCTGGGGACTCGAACAACACCCCACACAGTAGTGTTGGATTTCTGACTGCACTCCCCAGTCACCATTGAAGAGTTCTTGAAGAAGCAGTGCATCGGCGGATGCCAGGTTGCTGAAAAAGGTGTTCATAAAAAATGCCTTGCTTGCTGGAATGCTAGGCCCAGCAACAACATTTTCGGGCGGCTCGCATTGGTACACACGCAGCTTGGCAACGATCAGCGCACGCAGGCAACGTCTCAAACTGCTCATATGTCCGGATCGCAACACCAGGGAGGCTTTGATCAAACCGGATATGAAATCCGGACACAAACTGTACATGCTTGCCGCTACACCATGGAGGCGATGGACCTCGCAAATTAAGTGCAGTTTGCCCGCCTTGTCATCACTCCTCGCTGGGTCGTCTTCACTGACATCACCATGGAGTTCACACATCTCCTGCTGTGTCAGCATCTTTTCAGCCAGATGGTTGGCAGCATAATCATCTGTAGTGACGACATGAAGAACCCGGTCAAATGACCTTGCCTGATCCACAACTTCGGAATGCATGTTCTTCTGAAGCGCTGATGCGATGTTTGCAGCAGAGTTTGTATGCAGCACTTGCAGGGGGCTGGTGAGATGGGCTTCGATCTGCAAAGTGTTCGGGGCCTCCTGTGCATTCTCAGTCTTAAACTTAGAAGACTTAGAAGTTGATTCAGAAGGGTCCTCTATGATCTCTGTCGCCTGCGCCTTTGCTGCAGGCTGCCCTGCGCCCTTGCGAGTCAGCAGCATGGAAAAGCGCTGCTGCGTCAAGAACAACTTGCAAGGATACACCTCCACTTCTTTTGATGAAACCGGCAAATGCACGGGTGTGCGTGCAGATGCTGGCAATTCACATTCACGCACACCGGGCCTGGTTGCCTGCGAATCTGCACTTGGGTCACCTACGAGGCTGTAGCTTTCATTCACCTTGACTTTAAGTTTAATCGGAGTTTCGTCATATTGCCGCACGTGCATGAATAAGGACAAATCAAAGCGGGGAGAGGCTTGGTCCAAATCCTGGCCCTGGGTTGGGATGCTGCCGGAGCATTGCGGGTCTGACCCCTGAGCTGAAGCTGAAACTGGCGAGGGCATCTGGCAAGAAGTCTTTGCTGCTGCAACAACCCTGGACACAAAGCTTCCTGCTAAGGCCTCTTGGAAAGACAAAGCCAAGCTAGCCAAACGTTGAGGAACTTCATGAACACAAAATCGTGATTCACCTAGAAGCTGTGCAAGCGGCCTCGCGTTGGTTCGCAAAACATCAGTTCCGAACAACAGAGCATTGACGCGCTGAAACTTGGGAACCTCATGACAACGGCGCCCGACATTGACAGCTCGCTGCAGGCCAGCGATACATTGTGAAGCCGATACCAAGCCAGCGCGAACCAGCTCTGCACCTACTTTGGTTACATTGGAAAGCTGCCCTGCGAGAGCTGAGCCTATCTGAGTAGCACCGGCAGACTCTGACAACGGTGGAGCCGCAGGCCCCAGTTGCTTTGCGCGACCCCAGCGAGCCCACCGAGCAGTTGCAGGATTGCTATTGCCCTTGCCGGTGCCCCGGCCTTGGCCCTTTCCTTCCCTTCTCTCTTCAATTCCGTGCATGATCTCTTGGCCCTCGATCTCCAATTCGCACTCTCCGTCTCCGATCTGTGCATCTGCATCATCATGAGCGTCACTGTCGCTATTCTCGAACAAGCTTGCAGCACTCCTCTTTGCACAAGGGGTTTCCATGTCCACGGGCATGCCTGTGTCTGCGCCTGTGTCATCCTCTTCAAAAATCGAGGCTGCCAGGCCTGCCTGCAAGGAAGGCTGCATCGCTGGCTCAGCGACCTGTCACACCAATGCGCGGTACCCCCGTAGCAGCTTTAGCCGTTTCGTCCCGGCCTAGTCCTAAGCCCCAAGTCCTATAGCCCTAGAGTCCTAGCGCGAAGTCCGAGTGGCCCGATAATGAAAGAGTCCTAGGTCTTAGAGTTAGTGCATCCACGTTAGTAAAACTTTCCAGACCAGCCACCAAAAAGCGAACGAAGGGCCCTGGCCGACCGAACAATGATCTACCATTCCTACCACATTTCAACCCGAGCCCGATCAGCACCACCGATGCTTCAGACAGCACGCGGGCAGAAGTCACAAGTCAGGGACTACAGAACTATAGAATTATGGCGTGAGAACTCAAACACTTTAGTAGATAGTCCATCCCGACCCCAAAATCCCAGAATCAGAAACCCGCCCGAGCCGAGCCAAAAAAGCACGGCCTTGCCCCACCTCTACATTACCTAATTTGGACCTGATTATTGGAATAGAATAGAAAGTCCACCCTGACCCCAGAAAACCGAAACCAAACAACACGGCCTAACCCCACATATATTTATATGATTATATGACCCACACTACTACTACTACTACTACTACTACTACTACTACTACTACTACTACTACTACTACTACTACTACTACTACTACTACTACTACTACTACTACTACTACTACTACTACTACTACTACTACTACTACTACTACTACTACTACTACTACTACTACTACTACTACTACTACTACTACTACTACTACTACTACTACTACTACTACTACTACTACTACTACTACTACTACTACTACTACTATCTCTGCCGTGCCATCATCAAGTGTGAAGCAATGCAAGGGCACGAAAAAGCAAGCCAGAATATCAGGAGGCATAGCGCGTAGTAGGGGCTATGGCCCACCCTAAATCCCTAACCGCCCTAACCGCCACGAAGGGCGCTTAACCGCCATGAAGGCGAAACCCTAACCACCACGGGGAGGGGGGGCGGGGGGGGGGTGGGGCACCTAACGCTGAACAACTAAGCTACTACGTTACTATCTCTCGCTCTCTCTGCCGCGCCATCATCAAGTGTCTCGCAATGCACAAGGGCACGAAAAATGCAGGCCAGAATATCAGGAAGCGTAGCGCGAACGCTGCTACTATACTATACTATACTATATTTTAAACACTCAAAGCCCCAAGTACTTAACTTAAGTCCGCTCGGCCCCGAGCCTGCAGCAGCAGCTGAGGCACCAGGCAGGCACCTGCAAAGGCTCGGACGAGACGGGAAGATTGAGAGCAAGTGACTTACAAAGTTTCAAGCTGGGTTGGGAAAGGGCCGTGGAGCCGTGGGGGCCTTAGGGCAGACAGGGAACAGGATCATGCGAAAACGTTAGCCGTCGCTGAGACTGAGACAAAGGTAGGGACAAAGGGGGATGGGGAAGTCCATGGAAGTAAGGCGGGTGCCTTGAAAATCTTAGGGCCTAGGGCCTAGGGCCTGGGGCCTAGGGGCTTGAGGGTGAATTAAGGCTCGGGAAGCAATGCAATGGTCGGCACTTTTGGGGCCAAGAGCAGCGCGCCAGCTCGGTGCGATGAGTCTAGTAGCAGCTGTGCCCACACTGACCACGGCCAAGGATTTGTGTGTGCGTGTGTGCACATGTCACGTGTGTGTGTGTGTGCCTGATGTAGCCTCGCTGATCCGTGTGAGGCAAGCCACTGTTAAAAAAGCCGACCGGACCCACCAGTCACAAGTGATAAAGCCCATGGCCCATGCGAAGCAATGATCCTTTCAGAAAGTTTAGTATGGTATGCATGTAGTATTTAGTATACACCGGGCCGGACTCTTGCGCCTGGGTCCTAGGTCCTACAGCAGCAGGTCGATCCCGGTCCTCGGTCCGAAGTCCTACGTCCTCCAAGTCCTAGGTCCCTGCCGTCCTACGCCGCTTCACCCTGCCACTGGTGCTGCTGCTGCTGTCCTCCCCGGTGCCCTTGCTTCCAGTGCCACTGCCATCCGCACCGTCACCGTAGTCCTCCCCGGTGCCCTTGCTTCCAGTGCCACTGCCATCCGCACCGTCACCGTAGTCCTCCCCGGTGCCCTTGCCGCCACTGCCATCCGCACCGTCACCGCCGTCGTCCTGGCCCTTGCGCTTGCCCTCAATATCCTGGACGAACACGTGAATGGCAACCGCTTTGGACTCCAAGTCACCGCAGTTCCGGGCCTGTGCCAAATCGTTTCCAAAACCAAACCGAAACCCTAACCCTAAAGTCCCTAAAGTACCTTAAACCCCAGCCACCCTAGCCCTAACCCTAACCGCCCTAACCGAACCTAAGCCCCAAGCCCTGCTAGTAACCAGTAACCGCTAGTGCCGCTAGTGCCGCTAGTATTAAGTATTATAATCATTGTAACCAAAGGCCCCAGCCCCAAAAGTAAGTATGTGCGAGCCACTGCTTCTGCCAGCATGCTCCTCAACGGCATGTCCAAGGGCGAACTCATCGACGCAACAGTGATTGCAGAAGTTGTGCTTGTAGCATGGATCGGCAGCTCCTTGATCGTAATCTCCGCAGCTTCGACCGTTATCGTCGAAAGTTGGTAGAACGGCTCGCGGGCTCCATCGATCATCCTTCCTACCGACCCTACAAGGCCCCACAATGTGCCCTACAATAGCCCTACAAGGCTTTACAGTGTCCCTGCAGCGGGACTGTCGAACCTATGTTCCAATGACAGTCGAAAGGTCGCAGGGCCCTAGTGTCCTAGCATGTTCGAGAGATTCGCACATGGCACATGACATGTCTGTGGCCCTGAGACTGCAAGCCACAAGCCGCCCGCAATGAATCGGCGCACACACGATGCTAGTCTAGGCCCAGGCCTAGGCCCCAGGCTCTGAAATTCCAAAGTCAAGACCAACGGTGCAACCCCAAACAGACAACCAACACCTCACCCAGAGCCCCAGACCCACAACGACCCACAAAAACCCCACCCCCACGACGTCGGCACCTCAGGAGCTAAAGTCCCAAATCCCAAGCCCAAAAATTCCTAAGCGGTTCAAAAAAGGGAGGGGTCGGCTAGGGCTAGGGCTCGGGCCGGCTAGGGCGGTTAGGGCGGTTAGGGCCAGGGCCTAGCGCAGTTAGTTTATCAGAACAACACGGCATACAACATAATCTGAAATTCTGAAAGAAGCAAAAGTCAAGAACCCGAGAACCGACCTGACCTAAGACCTAAGCCTAAGCCTAAGGCCTAAGCCCGAAACCAAGACCAAGCACGTAAGAAGGGGCACCTCCTCGGCCCTCCGCGTAGCCGTAGCCGCCGTAGCCGCACCAAGCAGCAGCCTGTCGGCGGGGGTTTTGGGGTCAACCCTGGAATCCTAGAATCAGCTGCACACCTCAAGCTCGAAACTGATCTCGGCAAACACTGTCGAATCTCATCACTGCATGTGAGTTAACTAAGTACTAAATTGACCCCACAACTTACGGGATGCAGCACCTCCTCCGTAAAGATGAAGCAGCGCAGCGCCAGGACCAGGAAGCAGAGGACCTCGTCGAAAGGGATGTTGGTGGGGACCCTGGGGAACCGGAGTTCGGGCTTAAGCCTAAGGCCTAAACCCTAGACCCCAGACCGACTGCAGTGACGATGCTTGTTACTGTTACTCACGACTTGACTTGAAACCCCAAGCCCAGTTTCCAATTAAAATCGAAACCAAACCCTATATAAGCCCTAAACCTTAACGACCCTAAAACCTGCGTGCACTGCACACTCTCAGGAGCAGGCCGCCACAGACCACGGAGTGGCCAAGTCGCGCCCCACCTCAGCACCAGCACCAGGAGGCACGTGGAATGTGGCATGCGGCTTAAGGCTTAAGTCTAGAGTCTAGACAGTGACAGCATCAACGACGGCAGCCAACCAGAAGGCAAGGTCGCATCTCGCAGAAGTATTGAGGCCCTGACAGAACCCACGAGGATGCCACGGCAAGGCGAAGCCAGCGAAGACGACCACGGACCTGGGCGAGGGGGCGAGCACCGGGAAACACAGTGTGCTGGGGCCTAGGGGGTGCTGGGGGTCAAGGTTGAAAGCTCTCCTGCGCGCACGGACCTACCTACCTGGACCTACCTACAATCCACAATGACAGGCCGCACTGCAGTCAGGGGCCCGGACTCCCCCAGCCACAGCTCATCGGCCAGCGGTCACACCGCCACAGTCGCCCGGCAGCGGGCCACACACACACACACACACATCACGAAAGAAGCAGGTAGGGGAGGGGGTTCTGACAAGTGCTAGACTCAGACTGTTAGGCAGCGGAAATTCTACGGCTACGGGTTAAAGCGGCTAAGGAGTTTTGAAACTTGGTACACTTCTCGATTTCTGCGTGTCATCCTTGCGGCCTTGTGCAGGGGCCATGCTAATCTTCGCTACGGCTACGGGTTAAAGCGGCTAAGGAGTTTTGAAACCTGGTACACTTCTCGATTTCTGCGTGTCATCCTTGCGGCCTTGTGCAGGGGCCATGCTAATCTTCGCTGTATCGTGCCAACATTATCGGATGATCCCCTTCGCTCACACAAGCTCACAGCAGGCACTGCTCATGATTCATGCACATGCGACATGTGACCCCGTGTGTGCGCAGGCGCAATGCGTGCTGCATGTGCATGCCGTGTTTGCACGCTGCGTCGGAGTGGAGTAAGTAGACGAGTGACGAGTAGAGTCAGTAAAGTAGAGCAGACTGAGTAGACGAAGAGTAGAATCGAAAGAATAAGTGAAGTACCTCAAACTGAATGATGACAAATGGTGAGTGGGACAATGTTACTATAATCTATAATACAATACAATACAGTTAGCTGTTCTGGAAAATGGCTATGGCAAACCTATACATTTCCTTTCCTTGTGGAAAGCCATGGTGTCCGTTGCTAATTTCGTTTTATTTCGGTCCTAGGCAAAATTAAAATATAAAGTATGAACACTGAATGTTTGTATGTTTTCAATCGATTTGGAACGCCAACGTATGTGTGAGGTTCTTCACTTTTTGCTTCCTCATTCACTATGTTGTTGCTATGTTCCCTATATGCTTTCTTTGTTTGTTGTAATGATTAGCTCTTGATCAAAACACAACCCAGTTTTAAACCATCTTGAAAGAAAGACATTACATGTGTGAATGTATTAGTTTTTGTTTATTTTTTTTACATTTTTTCTCCATTTTTTTGTCATTTTTTCGCTATTTTATTCCTATTTTTTTGCCATTAAATTCCTATTCTGAACGGTCACATCGGCAGGTATTTTAATTCCATTTTTTTCCTATTTTAATTCTATTTTGGATTCCCATTTTTGGGTGCTATACCACAATCCAGGCTTAGATAGAATTCAGCCTCATAAATTTAGGGTTTAGGGGTTTAGGGTTTAGGGTTTATACTACTATACGCCCGAAACTCCAAATAAAGCCCAGGTGTCGGGTTGCGGATTCCCTCTAAAAGCCTGATACCAGCTGAGGATTTAAGGGGACATCCACGGGGCTCCCATGTTCAGGCCTCGAATTTCTTTAATGGGGTCCTCTGTGTGAAAATTTCAAGGCGATCTGACGAAGAAGCTCGAATACTTGAAGGATCATGGGACATAGTAACTCGGGTTTTAATTAGGGTAACTATACTTATAACTACTTATAGGTGAGAGCGCCTGGTGTGCGTCCTGTACGTCCCCTCACTTTTCTTGGGTGGGGGGGGTGTGGGTGGGGGGTGGGGGGGGGCTAATTCCGGCCAGTCCCGACCCTTAACTCCCAGAACTGCGGACTTCTGTCGCAGGCAGGCCCAAGCTCTAGTTCTGATCGAAGCCATGTTTCCTTAGGGTCATATGCCGAACATACCGGTAATTACGGTGCGTTCGGCACTTGCTACAACCCACGTCGAAACCATCCATGGGTGGTCCATGTTATTGACGCAGAGCATCCATGGGTCAACCATGTTAACGTCCACTCAGACCAGATCTCATTGACGCAGAGCATCCATGCATGGGTCAACCATATTAACGTCCACTCAGACCAAGTTTGCGCAGCGCAGTGCTCGCAAAAGTGGCTTTTACTGCAGCGGCAACACCTTTTTCGCTAAAACGATCGACCTGTCACAGGGATTCTCCGCCTCTCCTAGCACAACTTTTTAGTCATAATACATGTTTTCCCTAGGTTTTAGCACATTGCCTGTTTCAGCTACGCCACAAAACGCCGGTCACGTACCAGGCGCTCTTACCTACTTGTAATCCCAAGTAAGGCACCTATAACCTTACTTACTAAGTCCCATGATCCTCCAAGTAAGAGTCCCCTTGCCGGGGCACGGGATGGTAAACATGTCCCAGACGATCAGGAGCGACGCGATGCCTCGACTTCAGAGGGAGAGGACCAGCCTTACGATTAGGAGCTTTATTTACTGGGAGCTTTGCTTACCTTTGGTTAGTAGGGAATGGAAGAATGGTAGTAATAGTTCTTATGATTGTACCCCATTCCTCCATTCCCTACTAACCACAGGTAACCCAAAACCCTAAACATTCCCTACTACCCAAAGGTAAGCTCATGCTTCGATGGTGCGAGGCTTTCGCAAAGCCTCCCAGGACTTTTTCAGGGCTTTTGAAACAGAAAACTACCTATAGGGGCCTTAATAATTACCTATATACCAGTTTGGGGGTTCCTTATTATAACGATAGTATAATGATGTAGTCGGCCCCAAAAACCCTATTCTAATCATTAAGGCCCCTACATTAAACCCCAACTCTGAGCAAGCCGCCTCCAGCCCAACCCCCAACCCTATCAGCCGTCGTCCGACACTCAAAAGCGAAGAGTTTAGGGCCTTGGGGTTAAAGATGCCTCTCGAAGTTCCCCGAAACCACGACCTCACATCGAGGGAGACCAGGGTTGCGAGGGAATCGGTACGACAGTTTACTATAGCGCATCCGGTGGCTTGAGGTACTGCAAGGTACTACAACATATATTTCAACCATCTAAGGGAACCCTCAGAGACAGATTTGTTTTGTAGTTGCTACGTCAATATTCGGACCCCTTTATAGCACCCTCCATCCACGCTTGAGCCTGCCCAAATCAGCTGCACACGGCTGTCGGGACCAACGACAAACCTGTCGCGGAGGGCTCTTGATCACCCGAGAAGCCAAGAATTAATTCGTCTATCTGCGGGCCTAAACCCTAAACCCTCGTTTCCTGCCAACCCTAACCCTAAGCCTTAAAAGCTACAACCCTAAATGAAACAACCCTAAACCAATGAAACCCCAAACCATTAACTCAAACCCTATTGCATGTCTGTGCCCGGTACTTTCCAGGTGTGTGCCCATCAAAAAAGAAAGGACCTGAAGTGAACCGCTGCGGTTTAGGCTTTAGGGTTTTTATAGGGTTTAGGGTTTATAAAGGGTTCAGAGTTCACAGTTTAGGATTGAGGGTTTAGAGAATCAGCTGTACGAAAAGTTCCTGAGGGGCTCAGCCAACCATACAGTGGTCTCACCCTTGTGGTCAACCAACCCTTTAAACCCTACAGCCCAAAGCCTAAGCCCAAAACCATAATACCCCAAGCCCCAAACCAGATTTAGGGGTTTAGGGGTTCAGAGTTTTGGGACCCTAGGGCAGGGTCTGAACGGTACTTTTT